ACTGGCTCCATCTATTGGGCAGCCATGTGTGCCCTCGCCTATTTCTACATGGTGAGTGTCCCTTCTTCCAGCTCTGGGGTCAGCCTGACTCAGATCCCTCTGGAAATGCTAACCAGGAATCCATAGCATGCTGTTCTTGTGTCCGTGTGTCCAGGGAACTAGAACCTCTGGGGAGGTGGGAAGGAATGGGTTATTGCTTATCAGAACTAGTGGGGTTTGGGTGAGGTTTTCTTAAAGTGTTGAAAAATCMATGTTTCTGGCAGTTGGGATATTGAGGATGCTCTAAGATAGAGCAGATCCCAGCTGGCATTGCTGCTGGGTGAAAATCCTGCCCGTGATCCCAGGGAAGCCAAACCTCCCTGTTTCATTTCAGCTCTGCAGCTGTTCAGTCTTAGAATTTGTGGRTGTGTGTGTGGTTTGTGTCCTGCAGGTGTCCTCGTGGGGTGGCTACGTCTTCCTGATCAACCTCATCCCCTTGCACGTCCTGGTGCTGATGCTCACCGGGCGCTTCTCCCACAGGATCTACGTAGCCTATTGCACGGTCTACTGCTTGGGAACCATCCTCTCAATGCAGATCTCCTTTGTTGGCTTCCAGGTGGGCACCAGGAGCATTTGCCACTTGGGGATGGGTTGTAACAGAAMAGCAGCGTGCTGGCACCTGGTTTTCCTTCTTGCTTTCATCACTGATGAATCACTAATTTATCACTGAGGTTRTAAGTGGGTGCTGACTCTTTGTTCCAGTTCCCATTATGGTGATTCCTTGCTGCCTTTGGCAAAATGAGCCTTTGAAAGTGCTGGATGACTTTCAAAGTTCCTAATATCCTTCCCAATGCCAGTTGTTTTTCAAAAAAATGTCTTTGGTTTTGGTGAAGGAAATGCTTATGCCGTTTGTGTCTTGGTATGGTAGGAAACAGGCCTGCCTGGCTCATGTTTTCAAGAGAATCAGTTAATTTTCYACATGGGTTCTTATCAGAATCAAAGCAGGTGTAGGAAAGGACTCGTGCCAGCTGTGCCAATCATAGCGAGGGAACATTTGAACCTTTTCCTGTGATTGGCAGTGATTGTGCCAGGAAGTGATTTGTGAGACAAGCTGATAATGGCTCTTGTTTGGCTCTGTATCTGACTGTGCTCTGCCTGCTCCCAGCCTGTYCTCTCCTCGGAGCACATGGCTGCCCTCGGAGTCTTCGGCTTGTGCCAGATCCATGCCTTTGTGGACTACCTCCGCAGCAAGCTGAACCCACAGCAGTTTGAAATCCTCTTCAGAAGTGTCATTTCCTTGGTYGGCTTCGTCCTCCTCAGCGTTGGGGCCGTGCTGATGCTCACAGGTAGCCCAAGGCTGTGGGCATTACAAGGGTGTTTCACCCCTTTTCCTTGCTTCCAAAGGCATGGGATTTGTCCATCCAAACTCTCTTACTGTGCTGTCAGTGCCTGTGGGCTCTCTTGAAGGGGGAGGTTACTTCCTGCCGGAATTCATTTCATTAGCAAGGAATTTTTGAGCAACAGCTGTAAGATAGTAGGGGCCGAGACTCTGGGGACACAGAGCTGGTGCTGCAGGTACTGATTGTTGCTCTTTAGTAGCAAAGAGATGCTAAAAATAGAGGTTGGGTGGGGAGAAGATTTTTAGGGTGAAATTGCATTGTATTTGCTTTCTAAAATGGCAGGTTTGAGTAACAGATTCTAAACCAGGTCTGGGATTGCTCATTGAGCCTCACAAGTGCTTCCCTCGAAGAGTGTACATCAACATTGCCTGTTGCTCTGCTGGATCCAAAGAGGATTTTGTTTTCTCCACTTTCCTAGGGAAAATCTCCCCATGGACAGGACGTTTCTATTCCCTGCTGGACCCTTCCTATGCCAAGAACAACATCCCCATCATCGCCTCTGTCTCYGAGCACCAGCCCACCACTTGGTCCTCCTACTACTTTGACCTGCAGCTCCTTGTTTTCATGTTCCCAGGTGAGTTGCCAGACCCTGGAAGTTGGTCACCAGAGGGTTTTCCTGCCTCTTCTGGCAGTGTCAAGCCTTCTGTGCCCCTCTGTGCCTGGTTTTATTTAATCCCTGAGCTGAACCTGAYCCCTTTCTCTCTCCCCTCGCAGTTGGTCTCTACTACTGCTTTAGCAACCTCTCGGATGCYCGCATTTTCATCATCATGTATGGCGTGACCAGCATGTACTTCTCAGCTGTCATGGTGAGGGCTGCGGGCGCCAGCACCGCCACCAAGTGCTCGTATCAATTTTATTTGTTTTTTCTGAACTTAGTGATGATTCTTTCGTCCCGAGGGCTTTTCTCCGTTCTGTAAACGTGGGTTTTTTTGCCCCTCTCTGCAGTGAGGGAAGGTGAAGTTGCAAATGTCACTGGTTTGGGTGTTACTCATGTCCCTGTGGCCAGTGCCATCTGGTCACTGTTCCCAGTCTCCCAGAGCCAAGAACAAATTCTCCCAAACAAATGCTCTGGGTTTTCAAGCAGGAACTGGAGGCAAACAGCTACTGATGAGCCCCTTTCCACTCTTCCTGTGGCACTCTGAACACTAAATGAAGTTGAGTTCTGGTGTGGAGGCAGCTCCTAATCCTTACCTCCAACAAAGAATGCTGAAGTGACCTCAGTTTCCCACATGGGCTAATTTTGAGCTTTTCAAGGAATTTCCCTCAGGGATATCTGAGATGGTAGCAGATCCCCACTAACAAAATCAGCCACGGGTTTATCCCCAGGCTGATGTATCCACTGATTTTGAGGTGTTGGATTAGGAATAGCAGTGAATTCCTTCTTCTGTTGGATTTCTCCTGGTTCTCTTCACTCACAGTTGTGCTGTTGCCATAGGTGCGTCTCATGCTGGTGCTGGCCCCAGTTATGTGCATCCTGTCTGGCATCGGGGTCTCTCAGGTGTTGTCCACCTACATGAAGAACCTGGATATCAGCCGGCCAGACAAGAAGAGCAAAAAGCAGCAAGATTCCACCTACCCCATCAAAAACGAGGTGAGCACYGAGCTGGCTCAGGAAGACACCTGGTCCTGGTGTGCTGGGTGYGGGAGGCTGATGGCCCCATCCCTCYGGTGCTGGGTTGTTCCYGCAGGTTGCCAGCGGCATGATCCTGGTCATGGCCTTCTTCCTGATCACCTACACCTTCCACTCCACCTGGGTGACCAGCGAGGCCTATTCCTCCCCGTCCATCGTTCTGTCTGCCCGTGGTGGGGATGGCAGCAGGATCATCTTCGATGATTTCCGAGAAGCTTATTACTGGCTGCGGCACAACACACCGGAGGTACGGGGAGGGGCTGGGGCCTGGGGCRCCTGACATCACCCACTGAGGGAGGTGTTGATGCATGGCCTGTGTTTGATATAGGATGCCAAGGTGATGTCCTGGTGGGACTACGGCTACCAGATCACTGCCATGGCCAACCGGACCATCCTGGTGGACAACAACACCTGGAACAACACGCACATCTCCCGCGTCGGCCAGGTGGGTCTGTCCCTCCCTCGCTGCCTTGGCCAGCCTTTCAGGGCTCTGTGTCAGCTGACACCATGTGGCTGACACCACATCTGCCTCAGGCCATGGCATCGACAGAGGAGAAAGCCTACGAGATCATGAGGGAGCTGGACGTCAGCTACGTGCTGGTCATCTTCGGTGGCCTCACCGGGTACTCATCTGACGGTAAGGTCCTGCTGTGAGCCGGGTCACACCCACCCAGGGGCGCTGGTGGCAGAGTCCCACCTCCAGCTGGGGCTGTGGAGTGAAAGTGGTGCTGGAATGCTCCTCTCGGGAGCTGCACGTGCTTTTGTAGCTCTCCCTTAACTTTGCTTTTGGTCCCTCCACATCACATCAACTCTCCTTTCCAGCCTCCCAGCTCAACTTGACTCCCCATTCTTTAGCCTCATCTCAGCTTCTTTCACCCCAATTCAGCCCCTTGCTCTTGGTCCACCAAATCAGCTCAGCCCCTCACTCTGTCCCCCAACTCCCTGCCTTGCAGACATCAACAAGTTCCTGTGGATGGTGCGGATCGGGGGCAGCACGGACACRGGGCGCCACATCAAGGAGCACGACTACTACACCCCCACCGGGGAGTTCCGGGTGGACCGCGAGGGCTCCCCGGTGCTGCTCAACTGCCTCATGTACAAAATGTGCTACTACCGCTTCGGCCAGGTCTACACCGAGGCCAGTGAGTGCCTGAGTCACCCCCGGGGCTTGGCAATGCCTTTGGGGGGCCCCTCCAGTCCCTGACATCCCTGGGGTGCGATGCAGCAGCACTGCCTGTCCTCTGCCCTCTCCTAGAGCGACCGCCAGGCTATGACCGGGTGAGGAAYGCTGAAATCGGCAACAAGGACTTTGAGCTGGACGTGCTGGAGGAGGCGTACACCACAGAGCACTGGCTGGTCCGAATATACAAGGTACGGCCCCAGAATGAGCCCAGACACCCCAGTTTGGGAAAAAAACCCATGGAATTCTACCTAATGAAGCTTTTTTTTACTGCCCAGGTGAAAGATTTGGACAACCGTGGGTTGTCGAGGACGTAGAGGAGCTGGCGCCAGCCGYGCCAGACACCGCACTGACCCAGCCTTGGCTTGTGCAGCAGAGATTTGGGGGTTTGGTGGGGTTTCGAGGGGGGCTGTTTTGGGTTTGTTTTATACCGTTTGTAAGCGCAGGCAGCGGTGGGAGGACCCTGCCCGCCCCATCCTGCCGGGAGTGATTTTTATATACACACACGGAGCCGTCGCCAAATCAGGAATTGCGGCTCTCACCGGGGCTGATTGACCAGGAATTGTGAAGAATACAAATAAATAAAAATAAATTTGGTGGGTTTTTCCCCGAATTCTGTCAGAGGAGCCTCGGGGCCGTTTGGCTGTTTTTGATCGGTTTGAACGGAAATGGGGACGGGGGCGTGGCCTGGGTGGGGGCGCGAATTCAGGTGTGGGCGGGGCCTGCGCTGCAGGATGGGCGGGGCCAATGGGATGGGGCGGGGCCTGCGTGGTGCGCGCGCAGGGCGGGGCGGGGCTCGCGGCGGTGGCGGGAAAGGGCGGCGTGGCCGGAGCGGTGCCGGGAGCGGGATCGGGGCCGGAGCGGGCCCGGGCCGGGGATGGCGGTGCCCTTCGTGGAGGACTGGGACCTGGTGCAGACGCTGGGCGAAGGCGCCTACGGGGAGTGAGTGCGGCGGGGCCGAGGGGGGCGGGGCGGGCGGGGTTGCTGCCGGCCGGGCCCGCCCCTTGCCCACCCCTGCCCTGCCCCTTGCGCGACCCAGGCCCCTGCCCTGCCCTTGCGCGGCCGCTGTCCCCCTGTCCCCCGCTTGTGCCACTTGCACACCCGCTGTTTGCCGCTGTGTGTTCCTGCGTGCCCGCTGTTCGCTCGCCTCTTGCCATATGCCCCGTGTATGCCCACGCTTGCCCAACATGCACAGCTCGCCCATCACCTGCCCGCTCTTTGCCCACCCTGCGGTCATTGCGTGCCCCCTTGCTTGCCTAACACATGCCCCTATGTGCCCCTGATGCTCGGCCATCGCTTGCCCTTTGGTGTTCTCTGCTTGCCCATTGCATCCCTTTGCACACCCGGCGTGCCCCCCGTGTRTGCCCATCCTACACCTGCCTGTGCCTGCATTCCCTGCCCGTTCCCTGCCTCCAGCTGCAACATTCCCTGCCTGCTGCCGTTCCCTGCCCGCTCCCTGTCTCTGGGTGACCCATTCTCTGCCCAGTCCCTGCCCAGTCCCTGCCCATTCAGTGCCCCACTGACCCTTGCCCACCGTAGGGTGCAGCTGGCCGTGAACCGCCGCACCGAGGAGGCCGTGGCCGTGAAGATCGTGGACATGAAACGCGCGGCCGAGTGCCCAGAGAACATCAAGAAGGAAATCTGTATCAACAAAATGCTGAGCCACGAGAACGTCGTGCGGTTCTACGGACACCGGCGGGAGGGGGCCACGCAGTACCTGTTCCTGGAGTACTGCCGGGGCGGAGAGCTCTTCGACCGCATCGGTGCGGCACGGGGGGACCTGGGCATTTAGGGGCGGTGGGGCATTTGAAATGGTCATCCCCAAGTGGCTGAGGATTGCTGTTCCCCTTCTCCTTCCCCACGTGCAGAGCCAGACGTGGGGATGCCGGAGGCAGAGGCGCAGCGGTTCTTCCAGCAGCTGATTGCGGGCGTGGTGAGTGATCCCCGGGACCCCTGGAGGCGGCGGTGCCGCTGGTGTGGGTGACAATTCCTGTGTGGTGCTGACCCTTCTCATGGTTCCCACTCGGCACTGACCCTTCCTGTGATTCCCACTCTGTGCTGACCCTTCTCATGGTTCCCACTCGGCACTGACCCTTCCTGTGATTCCCGCTCTGTGCTGACCCTTCCTGTGATTCCCACTCTGTGCTGACCCTTCCTGTGATTCCCACTCGGCACTGACCCTTCCTGTGATTCCCACTTGGCACTGACCCTTCCTGTGATTCCCACTCGGCACTGACCCTTCCCCTGGTCCGCAGGTTTATCTGCACAGCATCGGCATCACCCACCGTGACCTGAAGCCAGAGAACCTGCTGCTGGATGAGCGAGGTGGGGCAGGCGTGTCCCTCTCCAACCCCCACTTAGTTTTCATTTTTAATTTATTTTTTTAATGTTTAATTGTAAAGTTTTAATTTGAATGCTTACATTTTCCATTTGAGTTTTTAATCTAGGGTTTTAACTTTATTATTAATTTAAATTTCACCATGCATTTTTGATTCCAAATTTAAAAAACTTTTTAGCTTCATTTCTTAACTTAAGCTTTTCTTTGAATTTGAATTTAAATTTGAATTTGAATTTAAATTTGAATTTGAATTTGAATTTGCATTTTAATTTAATTTTTTTCTTTTGATTTTATTTGTATTTTAATTTAAATTTTAAGTTCAACTTGTAGCCTAGAACTTTAAGTTTACAAGATTTCTTAATTTGAATTCTTATTTGAAACTTGTTTTCAATTCAAACTTTCAATCAGAAATAYAAAATTTGAATTTATAATGAAATTTTTTACTTTTAATTCCTATTTAAATTTGCATTTTAAATTAATTCTGTTGGGGGTGGGTAATTTCAGCTTTCAATTTAAATTTTTAATTTGGCTTTTCGCTTCCCTTCGGGCCCAGACAACCTGAAGATTTCGGATTTTGGCCTGGCCACGGTGTTCCGGCACAACGGGCGGGAGCGGCTGCTGAACAAGATGTGCGGGACCCTGCCCTACGTGGCCCCGGAGCTGCTGCGGCGCCCCGAATTCCGCGCCGAGCCCGTGGACGTCTGGGCCTGCGGGGTGGTGCTGACAGCCATGCTGGCCGGAGGTGGGAGAGCCAGGGGATGTGGAATCCATGGGGGGTGACATGGGGCTGTCAGCCGTGCTGGCCGGAGGTGGGAACACCGGGATGTATGGAATCCATGGAGGGTGACAGTTATAATAGCTATGCTGTTATAGGCAAAGGTCAGGAGTGGGCCTGCTAGGTTGTATGGAATTCACAGGGTGTGATGTGGTGCTGACAGCCATGCTGGCCGGAGGTGGGAGTGCCAGGGGTTGTGGAATTCATGGAGGGTGACACGGAGCTGATGGCTGTGCGTGGAGCTGATGGCTGTGCTGGCCAGGAATGGGAACACCAGGATGTGTGGAATTCATGGAGGGTGACATGGGGCTGATGGCCATGCTGGCCAGGAGTGGGAACACCAGGATGTATGGAATTAACAGGGGGTGACATGGGCCTGACAGCCACGCTGGCCAGGAGTGGGAACACCAGGATGTATGGAAATCACGGGGGGTGACATGGGGCTGATGGCTGTCCTGGCCAGGAGTGGGAGGACTGGGATGTATGGAATTAACAGGGGGTGACATGGGGCTGACAGCCATGCTG